TTAAACACAATTTTATAAATAATGTATACAACTGGAGCAAAAATTTGAAATATATTCTTATGAATGAATATTACTTTCAAAAATAATTATTTTTAAACCAATTAAAGTTATTAAAAAATCTGAGAATATTAACGCTTATTTAGGGTTTTGGTGATTAAAATCATCAGTCTCTTTCAAATATTTTTTTAATTCCTTACCTGGCATACAGATATATTTCCTAAACTAAAAATTGTTTTTCGGTGTAGAAGAGTACAGGACTTAAGCGCCAGATAAAAGACCACGAGCTGTGAATTATAAGAATGTCTAACATTTGACTTAAATTGTCATATGTTTAACATCTGACAAATTAATTTGAATATAAACATGCATTCTTATTCTTAGTACCTAAACTATGCACATAGATTGTCTATGTTCTATGAGAGCATATCATACACTAGCGCAGAACTAGTGAAATTGAATCCAAAGAATGAAAAATTAAACTCTTTATATTTAAAAAGCTTTCGAATTAATACATCACCTGGTCCTGATTCTACATCAAATAAGATTATTAAACAGTTTCACTTAATGTTTTCTTCTCTTTTCCATAAACTTCTTATTGTTCGTCTGGATGTTGGTATTTTTTCACGTGTTGGCAATACGCTCAGGTGATACTTCTAAAAGAAATGAGTCTAGTGTTCCTTGTTTGGATTGCCTTAGACGTATAAGGTTACTTCTTGCTCTAGATAAGTGCTTGGAAAATTTTTTTACAGAATTTTCTGGTATTTGCACAGAGAAGACTTTCTTTCCGGTGATTAACAGCGTTTGACAACTTAGACGAGTAGTTAAAACGCTATTTTACGCATGAGTGGGATTGTTTGGAGAGGTAAAAAGAAACATTTACACACTATTTTGGTTCTTCTTTATACAAAAATGCTCTTTCGACAATGTGTGGTGGCCATGCATTCTCCAACCTGCTCAAAGAATTGGAACTTCAAACGAATACTTTTTAACCTTGCTGCTAACGTTTTAATGATAGGAGGGCCAAATTGAAACTAGATTCAATTTTTGCAATCGATCGCCTTGAAAGGGGTTGCCCTCAAGGCTCAGTTTCTGGACCTACATTTTTGAATATTATTATTATTGATCTGTTCTCAAAGCTTAAAAATCTTGTCTGTTGCCATACTAGAGCCTTTTCGGATGATATCTTAATTTGCTTCCAGAGTTGGGATCTTTCTGGCACTTTTTTCAACTCACAGGAGACTTTAAATTTCGCCTCCGATTGGTTAAAAGGTTTTAAATAAGACTTAAGACCTCCGATTGGTTAAAAGGTCCTGATAAAACCACAGCCATGATTATTGAAAGACGAAACTTGCTATGATGCATTTCAGTTTTAGCACAATGCTTGAGAGCATAAACTAACGAGACTCTAGAAGACTGTGTGAGGAATTATCTTAAGTACGACAAAGTCCATAGAAAGTTGTAAAGAATCCTTTATTTACTCAATGTAATCGCAGACGTCAACGACTTGTGCTTAGAGAAGCCAACACGTTTGGCTTAACTCAAAAAGATAATGATGAACTTGAAATGTATTAAGTTTGACCTAACAGCTCACAGGGTAATTTAAAGCTCAGGATGGCTTTGATTCGTGAAAGTCGGCTTAACGAGCCTAATTGCGAGAAGCGCTCAACGGCCGCAGAAATCTAATCGCTAGTAAATCAAGATAGCAACTTGGGCTTCAAACAGGCATAACACACTCTAAAATCACCTAAGCTTTCCCTTAAATACTAATACCTTCTGCTTCATTCGAATACACGAGCGCTAGCATATTAACATTCTGGCAAGAAAACATGGGTTGAAAAAGAGAATCAAAGAAAAGTTGCGTTAAATAAAAGTTAACTGTCAGTTAAATTAAATGAATGCCCATGTAGTTATTTCTCTACTGAACTGCATTAGCTGTGGTAAAGCAAATAAGCAATTTTGAGGTTTTCGATGACTGCAAAATGTTTTGGAAGTGACAGTTAACTTTATAAGATATTTTCTCCCTCCTTCCAGCATGCTTTCGTGGCGTAACGGTAGCACACTCGGTGCGTATTCGAGAGGTCCAGGTTCGAGCTCCGGTAGGTTTGCTCATTTGTAGGCAAGGAATTGAATCCTACATAATGTGTGGCCTTAGAGTCTGGAGTATGGAGCTTAAGGAAGATAAATTATAAATAACTGAGGTGCATTCAAAGGCGGATACTTTTGCAGGTCATTTTTGGATACTGTACTATAAGTTCGGAGTCTGTTTGTGCAATTTCTGGTTTCCCTCCAATCGATATTGCCATTCTTCACAATACTGCATTTAGAAAATATTTCCCTGCTTCTTCTATTTCTGATTATGACTGTGTTTTGCTTCCATCTTTTCTTCTTCATACCTCAGAAAGAAATGCTGTTAAAATTATTCGGTTTAACAATAAAATCGCAGATGATTTCTCCATAACTTGCTATACTGATGGCAAAGTTAGTTTCGCATTTGTTTTCGCAGAATGGTCTTAGTTCGAGAACTTTCAATTTAGAATTCGAGATGAATGAATGATTTTTATCTGAACTTTCGTCTTTAAACCTCGCCTTCAAACGGATCACTGATAAAATAGTACTGTTCCAGACTAATGTATATCTTCTTCTAATAACATAATAATGGACATTCAAAGACAACTTAAAAACATAAAAGATAGAAACATTTCGGTTGCTTTTGCATTTGTTTGTGGACATACGAGTTTTGTTGGGAATGAGCGAGGGAATGTTTTTTACAAAGACAGTAATTAAGCCTAAAATTGACATTTTTGTTAATCTCCCTAAATCCTTTTATAAGAAGGTTATGAAGGAAAGAATTATAGAGTCGTGGAATCAAGAATAGGTTAGTTCAAATAAAGGGAGCTTAACTAAAAGACTTTTCTATTCCATCAAAATGAGATTGTCATGTCATCATTTTTTATCAGTTATAAAATTACCTGGCTTCTTACTGGCCATAGAAACTTTAAAAGTTATCTGAGCAGATTTAAGTTGGACACAGAAGACGCTGCAAACACAAAAAGTCTGAGTTTAGAGACTTTTTGTGAATGCAGAATCGGTGGCGAGGGAAATGTTAAAAATGTGCTTCTACTGTGTTACAAATTTTACAGTGAAAGAAAGATCTTAAAACTGGCAGTTAAAAATATAAATATTAACTGGCCTCTAGATTTTCATGAGTTTATTTCTGACGGAAGTGCCTTTGACTGTTTTTGTAAATTCATTGTAAAATATTGTAATTCTTTATAATTTTTTTAAAAAAATTCCTTTTTCTGTTTTATTTCCTGCATTGTGTTTCATACTTACTTTTGTAAGCACCAAATGGTATTTTATGGTCCATGAGGAATCGTTTGTGTTTTTAATTTAAAAAAAAATGAACAAATTTTCTTATGCGTCTGTATTTTTACTTATTAGACACGTATTTAGTTAATAATCGGCTTAAAATTTTGCTGTAGTTACAGTGAAAAGTATAGCTGAATCACTTCAAAATGCCAGGAAAAGGCAACTTCATCTCATACCAAGAAACCTCCAGATTTAAATAAATGAAATTATCTTCATAGATTTAAAATCGTTCAGACGGATATAACTGTTTAAATATAAGATTACTATCCCTTTAGTATGCTGAAATTTTGTAAAGTTAAAATGATGCCTTAGGTTTTGAATAAATTTTTACGTTGTCCTGATTTGAAGGATTTGATGACGTAGATTAAAAAAACTTGCGGTTTTCATCGATAACACAGTAAGATGCCAGCAAATGATCTGTATATATGCTTTTTTTTTTTTTTTTGGGGGGAAGTCAAGGTCTGATATTTTCTCATAATTTTAGAAACACTTTTCCTGCTCCATACAAATGGTACCAAAAGTTTTATATGCTAACCTAAAACAAAATTTGTGTCTGAAAGCTCTTTATTTCAGTATTTTTAGTAATGTTGTGGTTTATTTTCTTCAGTGAATCTTTAAAAGTTAATACTAACAATTTTGGTAAACACTGCTGTTATTTTAAAGACTTTTCATATAAGAACAATACCTGATAACTCACGTTAAACGTAAAGGTAAAAAAATAAATATGTGAGAGAAATAGCTTATAACACACTACACTTATAACACACTACGTCTCTTTTCTACCCGCTTTTGCTTACACGACATAAAACAGTATCAGGCTGATTACACAGCTTAATTATACGGGGTAATACGATTATATCACATAAGACAGAATCAGGCTTTATAATGGTTATTTGAGTTGAAAAAAATTCCCTACTAGATTCAAAAATATTTTCCATACCCTTACTTGTGAGTGTTATCGATATTTTGAAATCAATGCCTACTTGACATAAATTACATGCTATAACATTAATAACCTATAGCTAAAATCGATTTCTAAAAATGTCATCCAGGTCGACTAAGTACTAGTTTCTTGTATACCAATAATGTATTCTATTTCAAGAATATCTAAGTCTTTTAACTCAGTTAATAGTTCTAAGCATGTTAACTGCTTGTATTTGTGGGGAAGCAAAAGATACAGTTATTTTCATATGACATTATTTTCTTACAAATGCCAATATATTACTCTTATATGCTAGCATTAAAAAAAAGAAAAAAAAAAGATTATTCAACTCTCATTCCGCAATTAATAGCTATTGGCTTTAGCAAGTGATTCTCAGAGGGAAATTATTTCTATGATTGAAAGTGAAAGAGGTCGTATTGGTATATGTATGTATAAAATGACCAATTATTTTCAGTTTTAAAATTCAAATTTTATAAAATATAGAATTAAAGAGATTTCTGCTGTAGAAAAATTTGTAAATTAAGGCACTGGTTTTCGTTGCTTGGTTACAAATTAACATGATTCGTTGCATTTTTATCTGTAGCATTAAATGGTGAAAACGTATAAGTTAGAAATTTAACTACTAAAACTTTATATTTAAAATTTTTATGAAAAGAGAATAGATCTTTCTTTCGAAAACTCACGTTACCTCAAAATAAAGCAGTGGTACTTGAGGAGTTACGATTTCAGAAATGAAAAAAGCGACGCATATTACAACCACTAGTTGGGCATACATGGAACTGAGGATGATAAACTGTTGAGTCCTGAAAAAGAAAGGTTTATGTTAATAGAAACAGAACTTAATTTTTTCTCTGTAGTAATACATGCTCATTGAAAGGAACTAGTATTCATATTAAGTAACTTGCTTCAAATATGATGAAGTCTTAGAAGTAACTTTTCATACAAAAGACATAAAAAGTTTTATAAGCCCCTGATCATTTTTTTTTCTCAAATTATGTGGATTTATAATCCCATTTATGATACCTGTTTACTTACTATTTTTTATGAAGTCCTCCAAGAAGGCATGTCATCCTTAGGTGCCTTGCTGTAATCAATTACCTAATATCTTCCTATTTGGGGGGGACATACTCATTTTTTTAACCCATTCATTCATATTTTGCATCATATTTCATTTTCGGTACCTACGAAAATTATCTTCGTAAAAATCTGGTGCATTTTTTGTAGGCTTTTTTGTCTTAGAATTTATATTTAATTAATAGATTAAGCTAAAAATTTCCTCGTGATTCTTTTCCAAAATATATCTATTTAGTTAATATTTGCATAAAACCTCAAAATCCATCAGGACTGTTATACCATCATATCGCCATATCGTAAAGTCATATATCAAGTCAGACCGTCTGTGCTTTTATATGTAATTATCGACAGTTTGCTGCGATGCTTAGAAATTTCGTTGTTTCTGTTTCATATTTTAAGAGTTTTATTTCGCTTCCCGTATACTTATTTCAGTATGGTTAAGTTTTATAGAGTGTGGAATAAATAGGTCTGTCATCCATATCTAAATGACCCTCTTATTATTTCTTTCAGACTACAAAGAATTTAATTTGCCTCTTTTTCCCCATCAGCGTATTAAAACTTTACTTGATTATTATTTTTTACATTTATCTTACAGAACTATCTAGTTTCACGACGTATTTTCAAAGCTCTTCTTATGCCTCACTATACTCAATAAAAAGCTTTGAGTGCTTCTTCATACTTTGTTCGTTTAACCTTAAATGATTTTCTTTCGAAAGGTACTTTTTATTAGAAATAACTGATTAGTTATTTATGTTATACTGATTAGTTATTCAGTTATAAAATAACTGAATCAAATTTGAGTGTTGCTAGTAATCGCAAGAAATACCTAATATTTTTAAGAAATATCTAGTAATTTATGATAAGTTATAACCTATCTATTATTGCAAAATTGTTTTGCAATTTACTGACACATAAAACTTAAACTGCTGTGCTTTTCGCTTTCCCGTTATTAAACTTTACTTTCGTGTATTCTCAAATACCATCCGCCTTACAAATCAAAATTTAATACCGTTAGCTACAGTTTTAAAGAATAATAGTTACGAACGTGACAAAATTCGGAAAAATGTCTGTCGGATATCATGTTGCACAAGATATGAAGGTGAATACCTAATGCGTGAGTAATTTCGGACACGCTTTTTATTCAAGAGGAACAATTAAATAAGCATCTGTTCTCCCAGACGTTATTGTGCGATTTAAACGAAAATCCTGCTAGGCAAACAAATGACTTCCTCTTTCCTCATATAAAATTCAGCTTCAGTAAAATGCCATTTGTTTAAGATGCACAAAGTAAAAACCTTGTTCGGTTACATTTTGATTCTTGAATTAATGAATACAGACGCTTTAATACTTCAGATTAGGTAAGGAGCTGCCAAGTTTAACACCTTAGCTAGTTTGTAAACATTAGCAGTGAACTTAGTTATCAAAAACTAGCTAAGCTTTTAAACTGGTAGTTACTTCGGGTGAAACATGAAACACAATAAAATTAATCAAAATTTAACTCTACGGGATTAAATCAACATCACACTGAACCTGAATTTTATTTTGCCTATTTTTTTTTTTTTTTTTTTAATTATTTTTCATGTGTAATTCTTTCATACTTTGTAGTACAAATCTTAAGGCGTAACTTTGCCGTCTTTAATTTCTTCGTGAGATAATTGGGAATATGATTCAATTTGAAATTTCAGGATTCGAAAGGAAACTTAACTTTCTTTATAAAAATGCTTCAATGTTGATGGGAAACGAAGCAAATGACAGTAAATTTCAGATCTAATAATATTTGTCTCTCCTATCAAGAACTTTTTGATAAATGGAATAGCTGATTCTGATAAATAAATAACGAAATATTTTTAAAGTATTCATAGAGAGCTGAACTTAATTTTTTAAAAGAATTTTCTTCCTAATTACGGCATAAAATTAAATGCTACATAGCAGTACACCTGACATGAGCTGGCTTAATTTTTTTAAAAAATGCGCATTTCGAATTGTTTATTATATGCTATTTCAAACCAATGCATGCTAAAAGCCTATTATAATGGATTAATCAAATCTTAGCTATTATGTTGTAATTAGATAATTACATTGAACAAGTATGCTGCAGAAGTGATTGCGCGTAACTGTTATGGCAGGGAAAAGAGATTTTATCAATCTAGATTTTTTTAACAACAGTAACTGCTTTAATATATGTATGAAACCTTTTAAACGATGGTATAGTTTTATTCTAAAACTGAACACCCAAATTATTTATGTCCTGTTTGTATCATTTAACACTATTGGATATTCGAAGGCGAATCAACATGAAAGCTTGAAAATTCTTGTACATTTGATAATGATTAATATTCAATGAAATGATTTATAAATAGACTAGAAGAGAAACACGCTAATGTGACAATCAAAATCGTAAAAACAACTTTGTATTTAGCGTAGGTATAATGAAACACTCAATCGATTTCGAGGGCAGCTAAAGATCCCTCTTCATCAGGAGAAAGAAATACCTAGAAAGAAGAAAATAAAGGAGAAGGAGTCTCAGAAACACGTGGTCCTTATCAGCACTGCACGTGGTTATAACTGGATTTTTAGTTCTGATTAAAAGTGCTGATAAGGACCACGTGTTTCTGAGACGCCTTCTCCTTTATTTTCTTCTTTCTAGGTATTTCTTTCTCCTGATGAGGAGGGACCTTTAGCTGCCCTCGAAATCGATTGAGTGTTTCATTATACCTACGCTAAATGCAAGGTTGTTTTTACGATTTTGATTGATTTATAAGTGTTTCTTTATAGTTGTACCTAAAGACCTAATTTACATTAAAATATGGGTTCATGGCATCAAGTTGAATTAGAACTATGAAAAACAGTAATTGGATGAAAATTTAAATCGATATATTTCGTTTCCAAATCGACATAACTCGTTTTTCTACATGTCTGGTATATCAAGATTAATATGTGATTAAAGAAATATTAAGGTCAATATGTGATTAAAGAAAGTGTAAAACTATGTGGCAGAAATAAAGCATATAATAAAGTTAGGATTATAATCAGCAAGTTTGCTCAAGAAAACTAATTTTAACAATTTTAAACTTAAATTGATATATTTTATTTCAGACTTCCTTAGTATGGCAGGATATCGAACTTTTCTGCAGTTGAATGCTTAAAGCCAGCTTCTTGGGTTTTGCAGCCTCAGTGCCTCAAGTGAATAAATATTTTAAGCATAAAAATTTTTCATATAGTATTAATTATAATATTAAACTAATTTTTCCTTCATACGTATGATGTACGTGCTAAGCAATTATGTTGAACGAGAACTCTGAAAACTTGTAAAAGGTTACTGTTTTCAAGCACAAAGCACAGATTTGAAATGAATTTCGTATTATCCATATCTAAGATTTTGAAAATCAGCTAGCAAATAAGAATAGAATAGCTTTCCTTATTTTATTTTCTACATTTAAAAAGGCTTTGAAAGGATGTTGTTTTGCCGTTTAATTTCCTAGATACAGCGGTTCTCAACCTATTGACTAACACGTCCCATCTAAACAAAAACTGAACAGCTTTAGTACCACTACTACATTAGGAAATGATTATTAACCCATATAACCATAGGTTTTTAATTTTGTATCGTCTGGTAATTTTGTATCGTCAGGAAATCACTCACGTGAGGTGAGATTTTTAGTGACCTGTTGTTTTTATGTGAACAGTTTTCGTTCCCTTCACATCAGTGTTTTATTTCCTATGATGTCAAACATTATTGGAGTTCCATCCATATTTCCAATATGGGAGACTAAATAATTCTGTTTTTGCGTTAGTAGGTCAATAACATTCTTCTGGTAACTTATCCATTTGTTGTCCAAATCTTTTGGAAGCCTTTTCGAAGCTTTCGTTTCTTCTCGTAGAGCTAAATCATTCCGTTACCTAAATCGACCACACTAACTCTAAGTGCCCTTAAAATGTTCACTTTCATTTATATTCTTTTTTGCCCACTTTAAAGCAAATAAACGTACGCTGGTTCTTGTATAATTAGTCCATTCTGACAATTTTCTGGAACCCATTTCTCAGAACTTTCTTCTAGGATAGGCCATTTCTTTACTCCTTTATGCAAAGCACATTTATTCTTTGGTATATTAATTATTGCAACTTGACTATGTAAGGATTATGTTAATTTTATTAACAGTTAAATTTTAAGTTAAAGTTCCTTTCCTATCAAATTCTTAACCTCAACTTAAATCCGGCCGGAAGTTTACTACTTCCGGCCGGATTTAAGTTGAGGTTAAGAATGTAGTTTTGGTATCTTGCTGAATATTTAATGAGGAGGAGCGGTAATTTAAACCACGAAGTTACTTACTGAGTCAGAGAATCAGAGTTCTGATTTAGCGCGTCTGCCTTTTGACCACTCTCTCTCTCAAAGCTGTTATTACGCTCGGTCGTACTCAGGCCTTGCTAAGCTTCGTAGTCAAATAAGTTAAGGGGCCAACTCGATTTGAACCTTGATAGCTTCGGCTATACTTCTTTAGTTAATCTTAGTTTTTTATTTATTCTTAGTCTTTAAGTTCAAGTCCAAGTGCGGGCATTGCTTGCACACTTCCAGGCGGAGTTTTGTTAAATCTTATTGGAATAATAAAGGGTTAGTTACCCTTCTATCTTGTTGTTTCTTGTCACCGAACTCAAGCGATTATTCGCTTATCAGTTCTTAGATTCTTCACTTCCAACATTAACTTAGAATTACAAAGTGTTTTTTTTTCCA